CTGGTCATTTAAGTAGGTTTTGTTTTTTACAGGCAATAATTATCTTAAAAAACCATTACAAGTTAATTCAAAAACAAAATGTTACTTTTTGGTGCGACTGATTGGAAATGTAACGTTTTGGTGAGTTCATTATAAAAATGTTATATCTCAAATCTTTCAAAAAAAAAAAAATAACACTAAGGTTTTATTAGAAAGACATACTGAATTTTTATTTTTAAATTTTAAGTGCACAATCAATCTCACAACAATTACATACTTCTAATTGATCGTCAATTTCGAATTTTTCGATATCAAAAGTAGCCGCTTCTTCGTCCAACACTGTTTCGAAAAAATTTAAATCTTCCAAATCCTTCCATGCTCTCCCAAATTGTTTCTCCAGCAACTTAGATAAGTCTTTCTTTTTTTCATTCGATATTTTATTGCCTAATCCAGCACTTGGCAATACTTTTGGAAACTGTTTTCCTTTCTTCAAATATGAACCATATTTCTCTGTGGATTCGTATTTGAAATTTGGAAGTGTTTTAAGCAAACATTGATGGTTATTCTTAGATTTTTTAATGAATATACGCTTCATATTTTGTATCCCATTTATGGGTCTAAAATAATTACTTAAAATTTTGATGTGATACGAGTTCCAATCCGCTCCTAAAGACAATACTGATTTTTTTTTTTGTAATAGTCGTTACTTTTCTTAGATCTTTTTCAACCCTGGCGAACACACGATCTGCTGGCAGAAAACTGTGACCTCTAACTGGGAAATATAACTCAATGTTAAGCAATGACAGTGGTGCTTTTTTCATAAGCCAAAACATCAAGCTATGAATTACATGCTGATTTTTGTTTTGACCACCACAGCCGTCACAAAACAAACGTAATGTTTCAGTATCTTTAAAATAAAGATTATCCAAGTAGTTAAGCAGTGCTGAGCTTACGCACACTGATCCACGTCCAGCTTGATCTTCAGTCCATTGATAAAAAGGGGGATTGTTTGTATCTGCTGTAGTTACACACAACGTATAAAAACTTAATTGTCTTAGATAAAATGCATCCCCAATCGGCGATTTAGGTAACGGTTGTACCTGTTGCATGTCAAAGCACAATGTTATGGTTTTAGGTAGATTTTTTTTTAGTAAATCGTAAAAAGTGTTCGCTCGTAATTTATGAATTCTATGTTGAGTTCTAAATTCTTGTTTTTTGATTTCATCTCTCTCTAATTTTATCTTGTTTTTTAGCATGAAACAAGTTGAGCACACATCAGTTGCCGGACTAGAAAATCCAATATTTAAAGTATTAAATATTTTCCAGAAAAATGTTTTTTTCACGTGAAGCGCCACACTAACAGAATATTATACATTCTCCTTAATTTCAAGATACTCAAATCACTTGATAAGTAACAGCGAACAGATTTCTGTCTATTGTAGTGGCTCTCGTTCGCAGGTAAGGTCTTCAAAAATGCGATAACTTTCTCTCGCTTTGGACTGTATTTTGATGTCTTTCTATCGCCCCCGCTTTTTTTTTGGAATACCCCCATCGTATAATATTTTTGCAATGGAGTTTAATCTTCGATTTTTTATTAAGAATGTTGCCTGGAAGAACTTTTTGCAAACAGAAGTCGCCATCCTTGGCTTGTGTTTTTGATATATTGATGGACGGTGGCGTTGTGTTCCATAGGGTGCAATAAATCGGGTAAAAAACTTATCTTGTTCAACTTTACCTTCGTTCTTAAAAAACAATTCCCTTTGTTTTGCTATGACTTGCAAAGAAATAATCGAACACATAAATTTACTATTTCCCTTATGATTACACGGCCTCTTGAATTGTAGTAATAAAGGATCCTTATTTGCATACCTAAAACATGGAAAAAGTCATATAAAATATGTAAAAAGTCGTAGGCATATAAATACATATGTATGTATGTACATTATTACATATTATTGCAAATATGTACTCACTTTTTGGCCCGCGTTTCTCGTCTCTTATTTTTCCATTGAGAAATATGATTTCGTTGACCTTGGTTTAGATCGCTTACAGTAAGCTCCATTTTTCATAAGTTTAATTCAAAATCACGTCGTTATTCTTCGTATTTTTTATAAATAACCGCATAGACCTAACTAAGAAAACAGCTGACAAAATATTGGGTAGGTTCAGAAGGTGCAGAAGTTGAGCGCAACCGTTGCTAAAAAAATCAATGATCATAATGCGTCTTCTGAGCGGCTTGATACATTAGCTGTCAAATGCAAAACACACAACACGTTGTCTCAAATGATCAGAAAAATATTACGATCATCTAACACGCAACTGTTCAGTTGATCAGAAGAACAAAACAACGCGTTCAGAAGGTGCAATCGCAACAGTTACTGAGCTGTTGCGCCTTCTGAACGTGCCCATTGACTCATAGGTGCAGCCAATATGCGATGATAGTCGTAAAGCAGAAAAACGTACAGTGGAAATTTTGTTTTTGTTCCAAATATTCATAGATGAAAAAGTTGCTTCTGTAATTGTTACGTTTTAGTGCGATCGAGAGACTTCAATACGACTCAATGGAGGTTTGGTTGCATTATCTCGGTTTCTCCGTTAAAATATCGACAGATACCAGTAAATAGAAAGGATTTGTATTAAAAAGTAATTTTTTTTTGTGTTTGGGAAATGTAACGTTTTGGTGTGGAGCTCCACATATGTCCCAAATATGTGACGAAATCGGTCTAGCCGTTTGGTAGTTTAGTGACATACAATATACGGAAAACTATAAAATTGTAAAATTGTGACGACTCAGCTTTCTTCATTTTTTGGCAACAACAGCAAAAAGTTTAGAATATGTCTAATCGGAAAACCTTCCACACAGAAGATCCAAAAATTACTTTGTACAGTATTGAAATGGGTTCAGTCGTTTTGTCAGGCATCGCGGTCGTACGAAAGACATTTCATTTTTATATATATAGACTAGCCAATGCCCGCTTGCTTCGCAGCGCCTAATAAGAACTTTTGATTGGGCCAATGCAAAAATAGCGTTAAAATAAAACGGTCTGTAAAGTAAAAAAATTGAAACGACTAAGGAAAAGTATCCTACTTTTACATAGACCAAAAATAGTAGCGCTTTGATGCCATATGGAATACTAATCCCTTTCGGTGTCATGAGTTTTGCCGATGGTCTTATTTCCACCTGTGAAATCTCTGCCAAGCGTGCATAATCTTCTTTGATCTTGCAACTACAACATTGGTTCGATGCGTAAGCCAACAAAAGTCCTTATAAGGAAACCTAAGAGCACAGATGAGTGGACAAGGTCGGTAGTTTAAAATACAATTATCTTGAAATAAACATACATTTTTTATTGTTGAAACCCAGAGAAAATTACTTACGACATATGCTTAAACTGCTTTTATTAAAAAATTCGCTTGAATATTGCATGAAATACTAATCAGTTGAACATATTGAAAAATTTTAAAATTAAACTTTGTATAGAACTCACCTGTAGAAGAAAAACCCCTTTTACAAAATTAATATCGATCGCCACTATGACTTTTGGCGTCCTTTTGAACTTCAGCGCAGCGTCAACTAACACTTTTACACTGATCATAGGAACAGATTAAAAAGGTCGTGATCTGTCTTGGACATACTTCAATAGCTGAAACATCATTTTAGCCAACCCAGGGGAATAAAACTCCGAAATCGATACTTTATTTATGGAGTTATGGGCACGAATTGGGGACCAAATGCATACATATGTGCTGCATACATAAATTTATAAACAACCTAAATTGGATTTATGTAAATAAATAAATAAATTGTCATAAATAAAGGTTCTGCAACTCACTTCCGAGTGAATTGCAACGCCCGCCCGTTTGATTGAAATTCACTCTGAAGTGAATTGCAGAACCTGCCTGATTAAACAGTTTTTATATTTGATTTTTTTCTGCAATATAATCACATATCCCAAACGTTCACATAATTTACTCACTTCACGCAATGTAAATCTTTGATAAATAAACATATTTACATAGTTTCGATATGAGAAAGGAAGATACTATTAATTAATGTATTAGAAGTTTGTTAAATACATAAGTATTAGGGGTAGGAAAATCTTATGAAAGTTTAGATACGAAACGAAGTAACATATTTTAGCCTAAAAGCTATTTTAAATTATGTATTTCATAATATATAAATATATATTCATAAAAATTTACCCTTTCTATGGTACATGAACGCTTGTGCGGACTTATGTAGGTTGGAGACGACCTTAGCCATAATGGGCGAAATAGATTACTTTATGTTCTTATATACATAGTTATCAAGTTAAAGAATTCACCCCTTATTAATTATGAAAAGTGGGGGAATTTTTTGACGGGTTAATTTTATAGTAAGATTTACAGGATTGTACGTCGGTAAATTCGCTGTATACCAAAAATTAAACTATTTTCCAATTTACTAGCAACGGTATAGTCGCCTCGGCAAATAAATGAAGAAAACAACGAGAGATTGAAAGATTTCAAGTGCCAGCCCTATTCTGAACATCCTATCTTCACATGGAGTTGTTTTAGTTCTCTTTGTTTTTGCGTAGATCACTGATGCTTTATTTCTTTGTTTTTGGTGATATGGTGCTTTATTTCATTCCAAGGTTAAGATATATTATATTTTTCAATATGTAGATAAATATACCCTTGTGATGTGTCTATTAACAATTGACATACATATCTTAATTTTTTAGAATTTAAAACTAATATATCAACAACCATTCAACATGTGAAATAAATCAATTATTACGGAACATTTTGTGTAAAAAGCATTTCCAACCCGTCCTCTTCTACTCCTTTCGAAATTTTCTCACTGGGAATCCGTGAAACAAACAAAAACAACGAATCTTTCTACAAATATCCTAGAAATGTGTCTAAGTCTGTAAAACTGAAGCAGAGTTAAAATAAGTGCAAGTGAATTAGTAGTATGTGTAAAATTAAAGAAATGCCATTCGAAGTAAAAATTTTTCGAATTTTCCCAATCAAATTATTAAAAAACGACAAATGTTAAATGTTTTCATCAGATTTTGAAAATAATATCTTTGGCACAGAAAAAAAATTATCCTCGGTGCCAGCTGCCAGTCGTGTCTGCTGTATTTTCCTCATTTTGGTCGTAATTTTTGGAGCGCCGTTTACATCGCCATCTTCATCGCCATCTCCGCTGCTGTTGCCTGTGTTGTCTTCGTGGTCGTGGTCGTCGCCTTTCATTGTCATTGTCAATAGGCCACGCCAACTACTCATAGACATAACAGCTGATTGCAGCTACGTTCGCCATAACTGACACTTCGCGCAGCGAAATCTCAACTTTCTCCGGCGCTTGCATAAGACGCACCCCTTATCAACCAAAAACACTCATACATTTACTTTACCCAACTAGTATGCTCTCTTCGTTTCTTTGTTTGGGTATGTGCGTAGAAAAAATCGCTAAACAGCTGTAACTTATTTATTACTCGTACTACGGCTCTCTCGACGATTGCGAGCTTGCGAATGTTGTTTGAGAGGCCGCAAAATCCTGTGAGTATGTCTCAGGTAATGCCTTTGGCCAGTAGTCAGTGCAGTGACTCTTTCGTGTAGTACGTCTCTGCATGTGGGTGGCATAGGCCACTAGGTCAGTGAATCACTAACGGTCTTAAACGTGCACGCGTGTGCGTTTACATGTCAGTGTGTATGAAAATACTCTCGCGTTTCATAAGTGTTTAGAACGATTTACGCTCGCATTCCTTGGACGTGTGAGTGCAATCTGGTTCTCTAACCACATTTCCTTAACTAAATGGATGCAACAATGCCAACGACGACAATAATGACAACAACTTGCTGTCAACCAATGCAACAAAGCATACAAAAATGGTAAATACGACAGTACATATATAACACAATTATTAAAACGGAAACAACGACTCAAAGCTGAATTCATTCGCTGATTTGTTGGTAGTTCATTCGTAGTATGTTCGCGGCTTACTGCTCCGTACCGAATCTCGCTCTTTCATTGCACTCCTTTAAATTTTTTATACCGCGCATGTACAAACAACAGCAAAGGCATCAACAACACCGCCAGCAACAACGCTGGTTTAATACTATCGAAGAATAACAACTCCAATAATTGCTTTATAGCAACAAATATAAAAAGCAAAACAAATAACAAACTGCAACAACCGACTGCAGCGACCGAATACTATCCCACGAAAACAACAACAGCTTCAACTGTGGAATTATACAATAAAACCACGTTCGAAACCACAGGAACAGTGGAAGCAACAAATTCGAACACGATTTCATTTCTTCCCACATCGACAGAAATCAGCAAGAATACTGGCAACATATATACCAACGACAGAAACGATTGCGAAAGGCCCAGCGCAGCCGCTGCCCCAGCTGTTACAGCTGCGGCCGCTGCTGTTGCTGCCACCGCTATTGCTCCTGCTTCACCAGTTCCTGCTGTTAGTGGCGATAACACCGCCACCGTCACAGCCACTACTACTGCCGTCTCTGCTACCGCAACCACCTCACGTGCCGCCCGAATCAATCGTGTCAGCCGCGTCACCCACGTAAACGCCACAGCCACGAGCGACGCCGACATAAAATACGTTACCGACGTCGACACAGACGACGCAGAAGCCGTAAGTTCGCTCATTGTACCTCGTTGCTCGTGCTACGAGGTGAGCCCCAACGCGCAAGCGAACTTCATATACGTCGCGGATACGGACACGGAAGCAGGCGTTAGAGGGAGGGCGACTGCGACTGCAACTGCCGCTGGTTACGGCTACAGCAGTAATCGTCGCCCTGTGTGCACGGACAATAATATGAGGAGTGGCAGTTCAGAATTATTACTCGAGCAGCAACAACAAGAATTACGGTTACGTAAAAAACGAGAACTGGCTCCAAAAAAGAAAAATGGCAACCGGCGCTTTCGTTCGTGGCGCGAGCGGGCAAGTTTCTACGGCACGTCAACACTTGCCTTCTTCTCGGTGACGGCTGGAGCTTCGCTCCTGTTCCTGGTGCCGCTTTATGTCGATCCGGCAATATCGACACTAAGCCATGACTTCATCGATAGCCCGACCCTATGCACAACTACGCGGCGCGAAGATCTAATCGGTATATTTAATTGTTCCTGGAGTTCGTGTCGTGAAGGTTGCACTTCTGATCTCTATCGTTGCGTGCATATTTATGTGACGTTTATCGAACAAAATATTACGATACCCGAGAACATGACCGATTTCACAAACTTCACAGCCGAGTGGGAGCAGTCGGAGGAAGCCACACTGCTAGTGAATATAAAGGGGTGTGGCTATCCGCCAACGGTGACATGTAAAACGTTCAATGCCTTCTATGGTGTCGAAGGTGCGATATTTCCATGCTATTATTCGCGTAAGAATAAAACGGTCGTGCTGACGTCGTACAACCATGACGATCAGGTAGCGGTAATCATACATTTCTTTGCGGTGCCATTTGTGATAACAGTGATCTCGTCAGTCGCCCTCTGCATTATGCACTGCGATTGTCGGTGTAAAAAGGATCGCAGCCATCGAAGGAGTCGGCCACATAGTCGGCGACCGCGTATCGAAAACCTTAGGTGAGTGTATTTAATGCAAACGTATATAAATAAAATGTTATTCGGCGTAGTCCTTATACGTATGTACGTTCGTATCTGGTTAGGATCTCCATGTATTTTTGGCGTATGAAATTTGAACGTATTAATGTCTTTGAAAAGTGGGTACAAGCTATACACGGGAAAAAGTGGACACAGTAAAGGGAAGAGTAAAAATATAATATAGGCAAACCCGGTGGGCGACGATGGTATAGAAATTTTTCTGACCAGTTTTAACCATTTTCATCTGCGTAAATATGTATAACGAAAACCTGCGTACTTCTTAAGAAAGTTTTCGTCATTTTGAGCCACGAAAGTTTTCGTTGATTGTACAAAACCGTTTTCGTACATACTACGAAAATATGAGACATAAGAACTTTAGTACATTTTACGAATGTATTCGCACTATTTACTAAAGAATTTTGTGCTATTTCTTATTGTTTTTTATTACGAAATTTTTGTAAAACGCACAATAATAATTCGTTTATTTAACGAAATTATTTGCGTAAAATCTGCGCTTGTTTCGTAGAATGTGCGATTGCTTTCATTCTCCATTCTGTAAAAAACATGGTACGAATTACAACACAACACTTTTATTTTGTTTTTATCTTTATTTTTAGGCGTTTTTGTTTAACAAAATGTTTAACAAAAACGCTTAACATTCGTGATTATAATATAATTAAAGGGTTGTGTTATAATTAGTACCATGTTTTTTACAGTGTGGAGAATGAAAGCAACCATAAATTCTACGAAAGAACTGCAGATATTACAAGTATAACTGTCGTAAATAAGAAGTTTTACCTAAACTTTCTAACTACACTGTAGTTTAAAATTAATAAAAAAGGTTATTTTACCTACGAATGGGTTCTAAGTATACTACATATTTTTTATTGCGTAGCCTTTATCCAATAAAGTATATTAATGCAAAGTGTTAAACTCAACAAAACTCTATTAACAAAATAAGATATAAAATATGAAAGCATATAAAGATGCTGGTTCTACTTTCTTAAACATTATAATATTTTTATGTGGAGGTACTTGGCAGATTCGCTGCTTCTTCGATGTTTGATGATGCTTGACCACTATAAGTTTAAAAAAAATTATAAGGCGTCTGAAAGGCAGGTTTCAGTGAAAAACTATACATATACTTACTTTTCATTTCATTAAATAGTGCGTCTGTTCCTAGGCTTGCTCTTGATAGGTAACTGATGAAATTGCCTATTTATGAAGTCCCACACTGCAGCGAAAGGCTCAGGCGATGTTAAAAACATTGTATGCTTAAAAGCATATATCCAAAGCTTTAATATTTAATTTTATATTGTAATTTTATCCAGCAAATTCCTTTTTAAAACGTTTAAAATTATATTATACGTCTCAATTACGCCAGTCAGTAATTTCGTAATGACACAAGGTATATAAAAATATGATGAAATATTAAACTGCCGGAAATTTAGTATATTGTACGAAAATGTCCGTTGTTGTACGAATTTAAAAAACATGATACTCCATTAGTACTATGTACAAAATATTAAGTAAATTGTACGAATACAGAATTGTAGATTTCGTAAGTTTTAAAACCATACATAAATATTTCGAATGTCTTCCTACAACATACAAAATTATTCGTACAGCGATTTGTTCAGTAAATTACGAATGTGTTTCATAAAATAACGTAAGATTTCGTAGATTGTACTGAAAAAATACCTTGCGAAAGTCCTTTCCTTATTAGGGTTGCCAGATTTTTTATGCGCGAAATCAGTACATTAGACTTTTTCATGCTAAAAAAATCAGTACTTTTCAGTACATTTTTATTCAAAGCAAAATTATGAATGTAAGCAACAGAAAATAATTTAAAACGCCTGAGTTCTTGTTTTTAACAATATTTCGGTATATAAATAAAATATAGTTCATAAAAAATAAAAGTATTATTAATTATACACAGGAGCCAATAAATTATTTTATATTTGTGACTTTTTCAATACAATAGAGATTGAGTCATAGGTAAGCTAATTCTCCATTCGAAGTTCGACCTTTGGTAAAAAATTACTTTAAATTACTGTAATTACTAAAAAAAGTAAAAACATAGTCGTGGTACGCCCTTTTCTCTTATTTAAACGAGATATATCTTTTTCTATGTTACATGTGCTATAAGGGGTCAAAGGTCGGGTCTTCGAAAAATTATAGATCTTATATTTCAAACAAGTTTAACTGATTTAAACAAAATTAATATCGTCACAAACGTGATTAAACCCGCTTTTGCATATCAGAAGCAATTCGTATACTTCGTATGTATAAATCTGAGAAAAAACATTTAAAAGGAAAAAATACCTTTTTTTATAAAAAAAATATTTTAAATAAAAACGCCGTACGGCTTCACTAGTAGTTCATAAAATATAAAAATGTTATTAATTTTAACATGGGTGTACACATCATCGTACAAAGGAGCCAATAAATTATTTTATATTTATGACACTTTTGAATAGCAATAATGAGATAATTCCCATTTATAGTGTTTAAATAGTCAAAGAATTCTATCCACTTCATTTTAAAATTACTTTTCATTTGAAGTTCGCTTTCAAAAATTTTAACTAGAAGCCGGTTTCTCTCTTTGCGCCAGGAAACAAACTTTATTCTTAAGATCCTCTCATACTGTAAAAAAGTACCACTTTTAAGGAGTTCATCTATATTTCCTCATGGCTTAAATAATTTTTCAACTACGCAGAAACTGCTAAAGACTAAGAATTCGCTAAAACGAGTATCTAACTCTATGTCATGTATGTAAAACTCTTTTACAAAGTCAGTAAATTGAGAAAAAGGAGTTGTAAGTTATAGGCAAAAGCCATTCGAATATTGAATTGTATTGTTATTAAACTGAAAGTTATTTTCGAGATAATTAAAAACACTCGAAAAAAATGTAAGCCTTCTTTTTAAATAATTTAAGCTTAATTTAAAGAGTATCTAACTATATGTCTTGTATGTAAAACTTTTTTAGAGAGTCAGTAAATTGAGAAAAAGTAGTTGTAAGTTATAGGCGAAAGCCATTCGAATATTGAAATGTATTGTTATTAAACTGAAAGTTATTCTCGAGATAATTAAAAACACTCGAGAAAAATGTAAGCCTTCTTTTTAAATAATTTAAGCTCCATCATATTATCGCAACTGGTACGTAACGACCCGGCGATATGACCATAAAACGATTCATCTTTTTGTTGTATTAATTTCTTGGGCATATCAAAAATTATCTAAAACATGTCAACTATAATTAAATTATTTTCTTCTTATTTTTTTCAGTACAGTTTAAGGAAGTTCCAACGTTATGTAAAAACCTTAAGAAAATACTAAAGTATTATGTTTGAATAGAAAATTCAGTACAAATCAGTACAAATTTTGAAAAATCAGGACATTAGCGTACTGATTGAAGAAATGAATAAAATCAGTACAAGAGTTGAAAAATCAGTACTGTACTGATAAAATCAGTATATTTACGAATGGTTCTTAAACTCTTGTGTCGTTATGAAAAATGTGTTGGTATTATGAACGAAAGTCTCGTACATTGTACAAAAACCAAGACTGCGAAATTTTTCGTAGCACTTTTACGAAATTTTATTTTCAGTATGAAAAACACCTTAAAGAAAAAAATTTAAACTTCTTTTTTTTGTGAGAACTAAGGCACTCGGCACATTACGCGCCTAATCAAACTAGAGTAATCGTTTCGTCATGCCGCAACGAATGCATGACGACTCGACTTCTGTACGCGGTGCATAAGTCACCAGCTAATAAACACTTTCTACACATAACAAATTTTCTGGCCGTTCTTTCGCAACTACGCATTTCCGCAAATATTTCTGCTCCGCAATATTGCATAAACGCTTGTAATTTAATACAATTTGCACGAATTTTAGCACGAAATCATTCATTTTCAATTATGTTCTATTGAATTGACAAATAAATTTTATTTCCAACACAGAAAAGTAAACAAATGATGATTTCAAAACTGCAAGCGCCTTACAATGTTGGGCGCTTCGATTCATGAAGCTTTTATGATTAGGCGAAAACACGATTTTGAATCGTAATGTACAGAGCTTCATTGAAATACATCTGTTCGGCGTAAAAGCTTTATAATTTAGTATGCCGAAACGATTACACGACTGTGATTAGGAGCTTAATGTGCCGAGTGCTTAACTCAAAACTTAAGATGGTCATACATATAGGACCGGAAGAAAGTCCTTTAATTTGACACAGTCTAGTACAGGTATGATTGTACATATCCATGTAGAGTACATACATACATGTTTGCTTTGTTCGCCAGCTTGGTTGTTGCTTTCCTATATAAATGCACGAATTTATATGGGGGTAAATAACACAAACGGCAATAACGCAAAATTGGCTTTATTTCACTTTTAAATGGGAAATAAAACCAAAATCTGAGTTTTACTTTATTTCCAACAAAGGTTGGAAAGAAAACAAATTTGCCTTATTTCCCACTGCTTATTAATACTATTTGTAACAAAAACAGTTTACTGACAGAAGGAAAAAGAACGTTCTTTATTTCAATTTAATTAAAATTAAACAAAAAATGGGATATCTATATCTATACTAATTATATAAAGAGAAGTCCTTTTTTTTGTAACAGGTAATCTCGCGAACGGCTGGTCCGATTTTCATGAAATTTTGTATACAAATAGCTTTTGGTAACCACCATGTTTTAGGCTAAAAATTTTACTTTTTTTCTTGTAGGTGGACCAGTGACCGGTATATTCGAAAAAATCTTATTATAGTCCGATTTGCTTAAAATTTAGTACGTAAGTAGCTTTTTAGCATATATTAGCATATATGACCCATTTTTTCCGGGAAGTGGTCCAGGGACCGATCTATTCGAAAAAATCGAATTTACGGTCCGATTTGC